CTATTATTCATAATGGCGACTTTCGTAAACTGTTCTATCATGTCTCTGTCTTGTGACAGCTTTATTCTGCTATGCTGTGTAGTCTTATTCAATTTCGTGAACTTGCAACTGCGGTTACAATGAAGGAACAATGATTTCGTGGAGATCAACAAATACTTTGGAAATTAGTATATTCATTCACATTTAAAACTCATTTTATTTTGTCAACAAGTAGCAAAACCTTCCCCCCCCCCCCTCCACAGTTCAAATCTATTCACAGTTCACAAATTGTTATGTTTACATTATATACGCCCACTCACTTATAAATCGGAATTGTGACTTTCCATCTGGTTTATTTTGCCCAGAACCTCACATCTCTGATTATTACTTCGCACTGCGGCTTCTTTGGTCTTCACCTCAAGTTCTAGATTTCGGTTGTCATTGTCGGCCTGGTTGCTTCCAGTGTACTTTTCAGACTCATCACCAATCATAGCAATCAAATCTTACTTTGGCTTCAATCCTTCCCACTTCTGTGATTACTGATTGTTGTTTGGTCAGAATTTTTCTTTGTCATTTTTGCGTACATTAAGCGTCTCAACCTGAAACTTTTGTTCTTGTGTAGATGTCAACAAATTTTCGCTGAAGCAATTTCAAATAAGGTGACACAGAACATGTTCAAGGTCTCAGAAAGCCTCTTACCCAAAATCGGTTTTACGTTCCTCGATAGATTTGTAAATAGCATCTTTATGCGCATTCCATTAGCAACCTGCCCGTATAAGCGTATGGTTATACATCTCGATAGTTGATCTGGACTGGTTGATTCGTTTAATTAATGGTCTTGGAGACAAACATTTAAATCTTTCCGACAAACTCTATTGGGTCTGTCACTCGAGGACGTATTAATATTGCATTAACCCTTCCTTTTATTTCCATTCCCCTTTGGTAGGTTTCTTTGAGCTTGTCGACAAGAGCTACAGCAATGGAATCGACGAAGATAGCTTAATTGCCTCTCCGACTTCCTGGAGCGATTTAAATGGCGACGGAGATGGTGGAACCTACGCAGATGGAGAATATCTTGTTGCTCCTCCAGCTTGGTATCACCACGCCTATAATTGCCTCACTGCTGAAAATTACGAATCCCTCGCGCTCTTTTGCCTCGATATGGGCCTGTAAATTCACCTCCTTCATTTGCTCATAATGCCGAATGTATTTATTTATTTATATTTATTTCAAATGGCAGGCGTTTTGATAGATATCATTAGCCATTTAGCTGACTTCGGGTTTCACAGAGGGAAAGTTCATCAAAGTAGCAGAAAGTCGAGGGGTGGGGAACAGAAGAGCGATTCCCAGTTGTAAAAGAGGCAGACAGACACAAAGGTAGAGAAAAAGGTAAGGTGAGTACTGTGAAAGGGGTCGAATATGACAACCAGGGGGGTCGTGGTAATTTGAAGTGAGAAGTCAACTGCCGGTTAATAGACTTTTTTGCCGTATGAGTATACGTTGCCCAGGGTGCACCACGTGGAGGTAAGTCTATCGCACACCCCATGCCGAATGTAGTGGAGTTGAATAGAGATATATTCCAAGTCAGGAGGCTAATGATAAATATCATTTTATTTATATCAAATTGCAGGCGTTTTGATGGTTATCATTAGCCCTTTAGTTGACGTCAGGCTTCACAGAGGGGAGGAGGAACAGCTAAGTGAAGAAAAGTAGAGAGGAGAGTAACTGAAGAGTGTTTCAAAGACTAAGGTTGAAAATTTAGAAAAAGAAGAGTGTTTCAAAGACTAAGGTTGAAAATTTAGAAAAAAATATGATGTAGTATTGTGGAAGTGGTAGAATATGTCATACAGTGGGGTCATGGTAGTTTGAAGTCAGAAGTCAACTGCCGGTTAATAGACTTTTTTGCCGTATGAGTATACGTTGCTCAGGGTGCACCACGTTGAAAAAAATAAGTTATAAAAATGATAAATATCATAAAGCATGCCATTTGAACTAATAATCACAATAGTAATAATAATATTCCAAGTCAGAGGTCTTAAACTGAGCGTGTATTCAGTAGTGTGTGTATGATCAACGGCATTGGTTAATTCTAGTGTAATCCTGGAGTTAGTTGAATGCTTGGTACTGTTATTCTACATACTCTAAATATTTTGTTAACATTGCCCTTAATAGGCTCGAAATTGTA